TCACCCCGAGAGACTACGTCGTCATACTTCAGACTGCAAGAATCAAGCCATCACCTTACCATATGAAGGTGCTCAAGCATGATGCGTTTCTAAAAATGAGTGGATCTTACTTCAGTAGCATCAGACCAGGCAAAAGAGCTGCAGATCCAACTGTGCATGAGTTGCGGGCTCTTCAGTTCAGCAGTGAAGGCAGGATCCAGTTAAAGCTGTCCTTCTCAGAGGACTCTGCGTGGGAAGCATTGCCACAGAGGGTAGCGAAGACAAATGAACCAATATCATGGATAAGAATGTTTCCGTGTGCTCTGCCAGTTAAGGAGCGAAAGTTCCAGGACCTCCAGTCAATGAAACATGTGATGCCAGTGTCATCACTTCTTTGACAATTTGCCACATTAATAGGCATCAGTAGAGAATCCAGAAAAGTGGGGCTAGAGGGAGGAGTGAGGAGATGTGCATGCCTCCTCAGCATAATTCTTAGTTGCTTTGTTAGTTGAGCTTTATTGTTGATAGAGTTAAAGGTTATTTTGCCTAAGTCACAACGGCATGTTCAAAAATTTGCCTAAGTCATTTATTGCTCTTGTGTTACATAATTGGCATACACTGTTATTAGTATGTCAACAGTCATCTGTTGTAATGACCTTTTTGAGTGAAATCATTAATAAATGTTATATATTCAATGTTTTGTTAAGTTTTTTGTGTTTCCTGAAAAACCTGAAAAAATGACTTATGCCATTATTTTAAGAGGGTGTTGAAATGTAACATGTAGATTTTAAGACAATGTCCTTCATGTGACCATACTGTCAGCATCCTTCACACGAGGTAACACATACTACATGACTTCCAGAATGTCCATATTATTATTATTACAGTCAAAGAACTGCTGTGTAATCCACAATTATAGACTATTAGCTTTGGGAAATGTTTATATTGTTATTTGATCAATTAACCACTTGTATCATGATTAATTCCAGGTTTGAAGGATGTAATATGAAATCAACACTCCTATTACTCCTCTCTGCCATTATTAGTGCAAGTAGTTTTATATGTTATTTCATTTAATGTTTTGTGGTCATGGTGGAAGACGGATGTGCGAGTTTATAAGTAAACTCTAGAATTAAATTATTCCAAAGTTCAGTGGAAATTTACTCTCTTCTCCAAGTGGAAACACAGGAAAAGATGGGTGACGCCCCTGAAAGATGCGCCAACCCCCAGAGGATAAAACAGTCATGAACAATTCACACAAAGTCAGATAAGAAGAAAAGGCTTTAAAGGTGAGAAGAGGTCAGAAATGTTAGAAACGCAAAAAAGTTAGAAACTCGGTGAGATGCTAAGAAGGAACAAGATGCGAGAAACGAAGCTAAAAGCTAGAGGCTGAAAAGCTGAAGATAGAAAACGATGCAGAAACTAGAAGCTGAGAATTTTGCTCAAAGCTCAGAGTCCCGGCTCAAAGCCCGGATCTGTAGCCATGTAAACTCTTATCTCTAAGCTGCTAGCCACAAACTCATGGCTGTTAGTAATTTTTGCACTTTTCGTATCTTTTATTTTTCTTTGCCACAAGCTCCAAATAACATAATTTTTGTTTACATGCGCGATCTTTTATTTTTATAAGCCAAGTCAAGACCAACTGAACCAAAACAACAGAAGTGCCTCTGTCACGGTACGAGCAAGGAGAGGCCAGGACCCAAATGCAGAGTGTGAAAAACAGTTCTTTATTCACAAAAGTAGCAACGAAAAATCACCTTTAAAAGGGAAGTATCAAAACAGAAAAAACAACAGAAAATCACCGTAACGGGAAAAAACACTCTAACAGGAAAAAAACAACTAAAGGTGTCCAGGAGCAAGCTCAAACTGGGAAGCGAAAGTGCAAAGGAAAAAACTGGAGACAATACTTAGCGATCTTACGAACATGAGGCAGGGGATCGGCTCGAGAGCAGGGTTCGGGCGAGAAGCAAACTGAATACTCTGGCGACGAGGAAGGGAATAGAGTTGGCTTAAGTAGCCGGGCTGATTAGGGAATGCGGAGCAGGTGAGTCTGGTTGAGCCCTGCTGCCGAGGAGACCGCCCCGCCTCCGAGCACTCAGTCTGTGCAGAAGGAGAGAGAGAGAGATCAAAAAACTGCACAAGAGTCAGACCATGACAGCCTCAGGGTAATTTTGTAACTTTTAACCTCCTAGGACCTGGCGTCCACATATGTGGACGTCACATTTTGGGTTCTCTAGACCACAATACTAACTTTTTCTCAACAAGGGCCTGGTGACCACATTAGAGGACATTATTCTGCCACTTAGTGGTGGGAGAAGAGTGTAACACATTACAGATTAGATTCTAGATAGCAGACAACACACCCAGATGTTCAAATGGCCACTCCCGATCCCAACCCTGCCCTGGTAAAAAATTCAATCAAATTTCATGGTTGATTCTTGTTCAAATATGTATAAAAGTATTCAATCTTTGTTATGGAAGTAAAATTTTACAAAAGTTAGGAACTGTAATGATTTACCATGCCGCTAAACATGATGTCCACATATGTGGACAAAGGGACTTAGTTTTGTTAGTTAAGAAGCAGATGTATATGACTGGTACAGTTATGAGGCATCGGGTCGCTGCAGCAGTGCAGAAGCTACCAACTGACAAAAAAATGAAAAAGGACGGAAGAGGTACCTCAGCACAAGTTACCACTGAGGATGGAAAGATTTGCGTGGTAAAGTGGTATGACAATAAACCGGTATTGATGATGTCTGCTGTTCATGCTAGAGAGCCAGAAAACACCTGCCAGAGATGGGACAAAAAACAGAAACGATATGTGACCATCCCGCGACCAAGTATTGTCCATGAATACAACTCCAAGATGGGTGGAGTTGACCTTGTTGATGAGTTACTATCGAATGAATGGCCATACAAAGAAATGGACATTGAGGATGCTAATGCACTTTACAGATCTGGCTTTAGCCAACAGCTGGCTACTGTACCGCAAGGACCTCACTGTATGTGTCACACCAAAGAAAAACATCATGCAGTTCCTTGAATTTCGAATGGAAGTGGCCATGACCTTCTTGACTCAGCGTGACAATGACAACAACAATTCTGACTTTTCAGAGCCGGAAGATGACCCAGACATTTTAGTCCAAGGGAAAAAGCGTCCAGTGAAGGCAGTCCCCCATGTCTCAATCCGCAGGAGGGCTAATGCACATCTGCCAGAGGCAGTAAACTTGAAGAATGCAGCGCGCTGCAGAGCAAAAGGCTGCTCAGGGAAAACTCGAGTGCAGTGTGGTACATGCAAGGTTTTCCTCTGCTTACAGGCAGGTCGCAACTGTTACAGAGCCTTTCACACATAGGTGTAAACATGTTCCAATGGGGAAAAAAAATAGTTTGAAAATCTTTGTTACAGACATACGTCTTTCTGCAACTGTTTTACAGTACTTCAAATGAGCCATATTGCTCAAAGGGGCACAATTGTTCCGTCTCATTTTGTTTTTGCACTCAGGAAAATGCTGCTGTGTTCTGGCACCAAATAAATAGTTTTACATAATTACTCAACTGTGACTTTATTGGTTTCTATCTAAATTGAAGACGAATGTCCTCATATGTGGACATCATTTTTCTCAGAAACTACATCATGTAAAAACATAATTCTTTGTTGTTACACTCATCAGGTCCCAATCAGCCTAAATAGCAAAGAGAAATTAAAAATGCACGCCATGCAAGAGTTCGGGTCTTAGGAGGTTAATCATCATCAAGTTTTTTGAAGATTTTGACAACTTTAGAGTCATCTGGTCAACACCAGTCTCCTCTAAAAGTTATCCAGCCAAAGTGAAGAGCAATAGAGTTTATTTCTCATCAACCCGCAAGAGACGCCAGCAGATAACACCGCTGCACGACCGCCTGCAGAGAAGCCGAGCAGAAATCAAGAGTGCCCGAGACAGAAAGTCTCCTGGCAAACTCCACCAGAGCTGAATCGCTGAGACACCGGCAGAATCCGTCATCGTGATAATGGGACACGGCCTCCAGGAGAATCCACCTAGATCCTGCGTCTCCGGGGTTACCACGGCAACCACAGCCACCTGGGTTCCAGCCGAGGGTCTTCAGCTACAGCGCAACTCACAGTAGGCCGGTCTTAACACTCTGCTTATGACTGGGTTGATGTCGAAATATAGCAATATTTAATCATCAAACCTAATGCGTAGATGTAGTATCATTAGCTGTATAGCCATAGTGTATAGCCATAATATATTCTCTCCCACCATTGCCAACTCATCACACTGCTCATTTCCTTATTATTTTCATCTTTATGATTATTACACCTTGCATTTACTCTGTAGATGGCAGTTTTGTTAATAAACTCCTTTATTTACACCCAGCTGTTGCCCTGTTGTGTTCTTTTGACGTAGAGACTGGAGATCTATTGAATCGAGAAGTCATGGCTTCTGATATGAGATGATAAATTTATCAATGAAGTAATTCATTGTTATCCTCCCAGAGGACTGGTGCCCCATTTCAACGAGAGTAAATTCTAAATTATGGCGTTAATGCTACAGATGTTTGGCATGCTGGCTGTGTGAGTCCAATGTTTTCTTGAGATACAAGCCATCATTGCATCATTGACAACAACCAGGCTACTGTTTACTTACTACCATGTACCTAATTTATTTAATTACATTTGCCAGTGGGTTGATCTCTGCTGCAGCTGAAACAATCAACTAGCTAACTTTGCTATACTGTATATTATATAATTTATACAGTGACTGATTGTGCTATCACTCTCATATTAGCTTAACTGTCCCCGTTAGGATGGGACAATTATAATTATTTTTAGTACATAGAGTTTGGTGACCTAACATTATGTCCAGCATAGCTCCACCTATCATCAACCTGATTACTGTTCTAATAAGCCGGAGTAGTTGAAAGCTGATCTGTGGGTGTGCATGGTTCTTAAGTAAAAAACTAAAAATGAAATGAGGAGATGTGGCATGACTTGAGACTTAAACAGCTCTATGTAAACTCACTGGGAACTCCAGAAACGAGCCGAAGGGGTCGTAACACACGAAATGCTCGGAGGGCCTTGACGTCAAACCCCCCAGGTTTACCCCCAGACTGGCCACCAGAGTCAGCGTCTTTGGTTATCATCTCCAGAACCACACTGAACAACCTGAAGAGAAAAAGAGGGTTGTTGGTGAGGGAGAGGAAAAGTAAAGATAGATGGAGGCAGAGGTTTGAAAGAGAAGCAAAAAGAGGGAGAGGAGAGCAGTAATGGAGATGCCATCAAAACAGAGCAGAAAGGATGAGAGGAAAAGAGACAGAAAGCAAAGCCATGTGTCCTCTTTGTTCTTGTCTCTGTGTACATGCATGTGTGTAGTAAGTATGTGTGTGCTTTTATATAGTTTATGTGTGTATGTCTTTTATTTCTGTGCATATTTACCTTTAGCTTTTAACATTTCATCACAGTTTGCATCCACTGTGGCCAGGTTGTCTACTGATAAACCATCACTCTAAACAAGGCCTTGTGTGTGTATGTGTGTTTGTCTGTGTGTGAATGTGTGTCAAAGTACATGAGCGACTATATAAGTGAGTGTTTATGTTTGCATGTAAACCTATGGTTTGAGCTTAACTGTGCTCAAAGAATAATCTCACTGTTTGTTCGTGTACATGTTTTGACTGTGTGTGTTTGCACATATATACTGTATATATATTGTTAACTTGCTGCCTATGAACTCACCCCACAATGACAATGACAAAGTCCAGCATGTTCCAGCCGTTTCTGACATAGGAGTTTTGATGCATGACCAGGCCATAGGCAATAATCTTCAGAAATGTCTCTATAGTGAAAATGATCAGGAAGGCATATTCTACTGTTTCCTGCATGGAGAGAAAGTAAGAATGGAAGGGAAGGAGAGAGGGAGGAAATAAAAGAGAAAATAATAAAGATTATTAATCAAACCTTTACCAAAGAAATTCACTGAGCAAAATAATGTGCATGGGGGAATCGATGCAATGTTTAAGAGAAGTATAGGCTCAAAAAAGGAGAAAACATATTCCCTGGTTACCACAACATTTGGCATTGCAACTGATTTCTCTTTTTGTCAAACCCAACAGAAAAGTATCTTTGATTTGACTTTGATCCACAGCCTCATGATTCCTATTGACTTACACTTAGATGAGGTCCATGCGTCAAAAAAGGCAAATTGTCTAATAGTGTATTACTGTGTGTCTAATAATGACACACTCACACTTTACCGCAATTTCATTACTACATCAATCCTCCAGTCACAAAAGCCTAAATTTAACAAATTTTCAGGGTTAAGCACTTTCACTAAATGTAAGATGAGATTTAATTTGTATATCAACTCCAGAGGACATGCTGACTGGAATATTTTTTAACAAGGCTAGGTTAAAACCTTGTATATGGCTGGACCGCATGCGGTCAATGTGCGAAATAGAGGAAGTAATTGAAAACTGAAGCACTCTAAATAACTGACATCATCGCATCGTATTTGCATTCTGCCTAGTATCAGCTGGTTTCAGCCCTTTATCCATTTGCTTCTCTCCTCCTCTCTGTGCTCACATATACAGTATCACTTATGACAGCTGATTGATTTTGAAAGAGATGATTTTGAAAAATGATCAATGGGGAAACTCCAACGCTGTCTTGTGGCTGTGCAATGGTTGAATAATCAATCAACTCTATCACTCTCTCTGAGCTATTATTGTACAAGTAAATATAGCATAAATAACAGCTCAATCTTTGTCTTTAACTGATGTGTTTGGTGATTTTATCAGATGGCGTCACAGTTGCAGCAGAGCAGCAGTTTGGAAATGGCTTGGAATGGAAGTTAACATTTAGTCGTAATGGGTCACATTTCAATCACTATTTCTGACAACAGAAACAGAAAAACATGTAAATGAGAACAGCTTTATTGGGAATTCAGTCATGGGAAAGTCAGTCATGGACATTTATATATATAGGGCTGGCCCTTTAAAGTAAAATAAAATAGAAGCCAATGAAAACAGACAGTAATTGTCAAACAGTAGTCCACCATGTGTTATACTGAATCCCAGACCTTCTCAGCTGGATGACAAATGGCATAATTTTATCATCATATTTTATTCTAATATGCGCTTCTATATGCTAATATGTACACACACAAAAACACACACACAGCTGACTTGTATTTGAGGTGTATATTTGTGGGTGCACAAGTGTTTGTGAGCCAATGCAGCTTGGTAAATTAGTTTTTATGTATCTCTGTGCATATGTAAATACACTCTTCGTGTGTGTTATAAAGCTTAATAATGTAGTAAGAATAGTAGCAGCAATGCAGAATTTATTTAGTCAGTTCAAATAATGATAAACAAGATAGGCAGCAAAGAGAAGACAGATAAATGAGGTTTTTATCAGATCTGAAATCTACATGCATTGAAGAAAGTGAATCTCATGAGTGGGCTGAGTGAATGTCTGGTTGTAGGTACTGTACATATGTGTCATGTCCCATTTTCTGGATGGTGAGAACTTTACAGTTTTCTGTGATTGGTTACGCACTAAAAGTGAATTTATACCAGAGTATCATAACCTTAACTTTTGAAACCATGCCTTACACAAAGGAACCAAAGGTAAAAATTACATTTTCTACTTTACACTTTGTTTTCAGTTCTGCAACACACACTTGTAAAAAACACAACACACTTTTTCAAACTACAAAGCACACCTAAAATTTGCACCACACACATACACAGAAATTGAACACCACTCAGTCTGAGCCTTAGTGCTACAGATAGACCTCAGGTGAGCTTCTGTGAGAACTTTACAAACATGGAAGCAGTGAAAGTGAGAGGAAGAGGAAGGCATAGAGGGGGTGGAGGAAGAGGGCCAGAACAAAGAAGACCTGGCAACAGATGGACACATATGGACAATAGGGCCACTTTTGTGGACCATGTCGAATATCATGGACTGACACTGACACTTAGGTAGCCTGAGCAGAGAGGCCAGCTCAACCTCAGCCAGTATGTCTTCAATCACATTATGATGCATTCAGGTGTCCCTCGTAAACACAGCACAGGAAGTAGTTGTAGTTAGGAATAAAAAGACAAACTGGGCACTTAGCGATGACAAAGGAACTCATCAAAACAACATCCAAGGGAGAGATGTCACAGCATTGCTTGTGCTGTTTGATTGACAGATGATCTCTGGGAAATACAGTGCAGAAATACCAAAGCAATGAACACGAAGCAACAAAGATGTTGCCAAAAAAAAAAATTTATATAAAAGGTTTAAAAAAAAGTCATCCCAAAGATGAAAACTCTCCAGTCATATTCTATGTCCTGCTGCATCAACAGGGTGTTTCCATGGTAACATTGTGTCTGATGATGTTAACAAGACATTTCCACATACATCTATTTATCATATTTAGACATTGTTACATTTTATCACCTCCACCTTCTCTTGTACAGAAACACCTTTCACAACCCTACGTATCTCACTTCTCTTTCCTTTTCCCGTTTCTGTCTTTCCCACTCATAGTCTATCTTTCTCTTCCTCTCTGCATACATCTCTCTCTCTTTCTGTGACTCCCTTATTGCAAACATCTAGTCAGTTGGCAGCTTTTCAAGCCTATTAAGCCTAGCACTTCTTTTGTTGATTTAAAGGATGCAAACACACAAAGTGTGCTCAGACAGTGTGCACAAAGATTCACACAGACATATTCACACTCACTAAAAGACACTGATGACTACTGTAACACACACAGCCAGTCTTCACACCCACACACACAGGCAATACACACACTCGAACTGTGTTTCTGAAAGGCAGTAAGCCAACCAGACAGACAGTTTCACACAGATATCATAGATGCTCCTGGCAATGGTGATTTAGAGACAGCCAAGTTAGAACGTGTAGTTAAACATCAGCCATTGTGATACAGTGACACCAAAGCTAGCACCAGTGTGTTTTAGCTCTATAAGTGCATGTAGACTTTTTATTAATGCTGACCATTTTCCACTGCAGTCTACTTATGCAGAATTAGACACTAAAGGGCCATTTTCATATTCATCTGCTGAAGAGAGAAAATTTTTCTATGCTCACCTTAAATCTGAGTTTAACACAGAGACACAAACAAGATTCGTGACATCACAACTAGTTTGCAAGCCAATGTTGGAGTATTCCAGGATATTAAAGCTAAAACTGTTTAATGATTTATGCTAGTGGATAATTAGGTGCTAAGGGTCAGTTGTTGTTTAAACATCTCCCTCAGGGAAACTATTTACAACCACTGATAAAAATCACTCTATGGGCATGGGTAGGGGGCAGCCGGAAGAAGACAGAGGTAGAGATGTGGTAATTTATGTGTATACATTAACTGTCTTCCTTTGAGCGCGCTGAGCTTTAGGTTACACCCAAGGTTGGAGTCAGACGAGAAGGAGGAAGCCAGCAGAGCCAATCAGAAGACGACAAAACGCCCTTGCACATTTCTTTGTTTGTACCTGTATAAATACACTGGATCAGGGAAAGTTAGGTTGTCAGACTGTGGACTGACCAACACTTGTTATTGGTTAGGGAAAGCCACATCTGATCCAGAATTCTGTAATTGTTCATTGCTTGCTGAAAAGATTTACTAAACAAATTTAACTAAATTCTTTGGTGTGGACATTCACTGGTCTTTTGAGTATTTTGAACACTGCACTCACCCCGTGGGGGGTGAGAGTTTTTTTCTGCAAACAGCAAAAGCTCCTTCAATTTGGTGACCCCGACGTGATGCTTAACTGACCAGCAGCGACTGGATGACGAGTGCGGGAGGCAGGTGAACACTGCGGAGGAGAAAAGGGATCCCAAATAATAAGGTAAGCACCACCTTTTTAACAAAAGTGTGCAGATTGGACAAAACTAAATTATCCTCCAGCATGTAGTTCATTCTTCCTCCTGCTAGTATTTAATGGGTAATCTGAGTAAAACCAAGCAGTGAGCAAAAAGTTTGTATGTTGTACAAACTTTGCTGTACTATTATTTAGGTAGGGGGCTTCGGGCCTAAAGCCTACACCTTGTGTTTGTCACACCGTGGTGAGGTTGTCTTGTCTTGGGTTTGTTTTGTCCTGTCATTTCCTGTTTTATTTTGAAAAGTAATTCTCCTCTCGTTTCAGGTCACTTGCCCTTCCTCATGTGTCTCAGTCTGATTGCCCTAAGTGTTTCCACCTGTCCCCTATTTCCCTCCATGTGTTTAAATAGTCTGTGTTCCCCTTGTCTTGTGCCAGAGTGTCTTCGTCCTTGTCCTGCACCAGAGCCTTGATCCATGTCCACAGCCATCGCCATAGTAAGCCGTATGTTCCTCGTGACGAGTGATTTTTTTTGTTTGTAAATTTTTCTTTAGCTAAATTTCATAGCCCTTCGATTTCCTCGTTCAAGAGTGATTTTTTGTTTGTAAATTTTCTACCATAGCTTAGATTCATAGCCCTTTGTTTTTCCTCGTTCAAGAGTGATTTTTTGTTTGTTTACTTATATCATAGCTTAGATTCATAGTCCTTGGTTTTTCCTCTTTAAGAGTGATTTTGTTTGTAGCCATTATTTTATATAGGCAGGTTTTCCTCCATGCGGAGCATTTTGTGTTTTTTTGTTTCTTTTTATTAAACTTATTTTTTCCTCCTCTTGAAGTGTTTTTTTGTTTTCGCTATAGTCAGAGTTTAGTGTCTAGTATTGTTTATAGCCATTTGTTTGTCACTTGGTCCGAGGTCTCCGGTGAATTCAATAAAAGCCTTTTTGTTATCTAAAATCTCTGCATCTGAGTCCTGCTTTGAGTCTCGGCCTGACAGTGTTTGTACGTTGTAGGGGGCCTACACGTACTATTATTTAAGTAGGGGGCTTCGGGCCTTAA